CTGAAGCCTGGATCTTGCCAGGGACCTCAGCATCAGCCCCCAATTCTTTTATACAGGCTCCCTGTTCTCCAACTCCGCCAGCCATCTCAGAAAAGCGGGTGTAAAGAATTATTTGCTTGTTCCCTTCTCTCTTTTATGTGTGTGTTTGTGTGTATGTGAGTATCAAGTGTCTTTCTGGCAGTCCTAGTTCCTAGTTCTTGGTCTTACTCCAAGGTGCTGACCTGGTACCATCCACTGACTCAGAGATGTGAGTATGGTGTCAGACCGACCAGTAGGGGGAGCTCGGACCCTATCAATTTCCTGAGCTCCACCTCTAAGGCAGTCAGGCTGGTACAGGAGCTAAAGGATAGCATGGAATGAATATGGTTCTTAACCGGGCGGGTTTCCTATTATTTGCAGGAATTTTTGGTTGTCATGAGTAAGGATAGGGGGCTGCAGTGGCACCTGGTGGGTAGAGGCCAGGGATATTCAATCCCACGTTGCACAAGACAGTTGCCATGACAAAGAAGTATCCATGCAATATGTCAGCAGTGCTGATGTTGATGAATCCTGGGCCATACAATGGGTTTTAAACTATAGACCAAAAAGGAAGGTGATTTGTAGACAGCTCCAGGACAGAGAAGTCATTCCATTTATATTTTCCTAACTTTTCTGCTGTCTTATAGTCACTTTGCTCCCAATATGTAGTGATGTTTTAATCTTTAGCAACCGCCCCCCCCCAAGCCCTTCCTTTGCGCACAGAGCATCTCAGGGAGTGGGACTCTCATCTCAGGGAGGCTTACCTCCCTGAAGGGCTCATCAGCAGAAATTGCTCTTATCATCACATTCCTGCATCTTAAGGGGATGCAGCTGATGTCTGGGTGAGAATTCAAGTTGGCCCCCTCTTCCCATCTTTGACATACCCAGGAATCGCTAGGCATACGTCAGATCTCCAAGACTGCCAAGGTTTGAATAAGATCATTGTGTATTATTGTGCAAGGAAACAAAAGACCTAGAAAAGGAAAAGCAGCTCTCCTCTGATGCTGGAGCCAGAAAAGGAGAGGAGGAGGCAGCCAGCTGCTGGGGTAGCAAAGTGGAGGTTAGGCAGCCACTGGTGTAAGAACAATTAATTGTTACAGACACATCCTGGGGGAACTTACCCACCCCACTGAAGCCCTCCCTAGAAACCCCAAATGCACCTTTGAAAGGGGCAAGCTTAGAATATGAAAAAGGAGGAGACCTTGGGAACAGGGAGATCATCACAGGCTGTGACATCATAGGAAAGCACGTGTTATTGGTAGTAGAGCCTCCAGCCTGGTCTTACTGCTATAGATCAGACTTTGGAGCTAAGGCTTTGCCTGGCCTACCGCGCTCCTGTCATGGGCTTTAAGCCACTCTGCTCTGTGGCCCTTGGCCTCCTAGCAACAGGTGAGTGGAAGCCCAAGTGGCATGGCCCTGTTTGAGTCTGTTTGAGTCCTTTGACCACCTTGACAGCAAAGTCTACTTCCTGGGATCTGCCTAACTCTATTTCTTTTCCTTTGTAGGCTCTTTGGACACAGCTGCTTCCCAGACTCCAAATGATATTGTTACACAGGTGGGAAACAAGGAGTCCCTTTCATGTGAGCAAAATCTGGGCCATGATACTATGTACTTGAATAAGCAGACCCCAAGCAATTTGCTGACACTTTTATTTAGCTGCAATAGAATGGAATTAATTTTAAATGAAACACTTCAGAGTTTCTCCCTATGAAGCCTTGAGCCACATCCCTGGAACAGGACAATTCTGCTGCGGATCTCTGTGCCCTGCAGTGTCACTGCCTCAATGTGCAACCACTCTCCAGCCAGAAAGCTGTGTGGGTGACAAGTTCCCCCGGCTGAGGCTCTGTTCTCCAGTCCTTGTGGAACCCCGTGGAGGCTCAGTTGGTAGCATCACCTTCTAGGGCACCAGATGAGGCAATGCTGCTTTTGACACACACATAAGACTCCCAGATTTCTGCATATCAGCTAGGGGTCAGAGGGCCAAGAACAGTAGCAAAGAGGGTGGGGGCAGATGCCTGAAGGGCCGCTGGGCCTCCATGGCATATGCAAAGGCCCTGGGGTCCAGATTCCAAGGCTACCCAGAGCATATGCACCTGAAGTGCTTAGCGTCCTTGAAACCCAAGACTTCTCTCCCTGCCTCAGTTTCCCACCAGTGTGCAGACCCCAGAGGACACGGGAGGCTCAAGTTTGGGGACCACCCTGGTTATATGGTTCACGATACGGTCACACGTGGACTTAGGATTCCAGAGACAGTGAGGGAGCCCAAAGATCTTAACTGCCAAGAGAAGATATTCCTTCTCTTTGCACACTGCACAAAGTGGCACCTACTGTCCAGAACACGATGGCAGGTATGCTGTCGCTAAACATGTTTGGTGAGCACAAGCTTAAAGGGGAGTTGAGCTTCCCGTTTTAACAGTGAAAAGGTATTTGGAGAAATGTGAAAGTTCACAGAAATAGGTAAACTAGGAATGTTTAGGGAAAAGTCATTTGAGGCAGACACCTTCCTCTTCGAAAAATGACCATGACAATTCTGTACCAATTCTGATGGAGTCCTCCCTCACAAGCAGGTAGCAACCAGAAAACGGAAGATATTGTGTGATTTAGAAAGTGTGTTAGATATAAATCTCTAAGCAATGCTTAGTTATCGGGCCTATGTTAAGGGAGGAAACATCAAATTTGTATTCTGATACAATTACACAGGTAGGCTGGGCATGGTGGTGCATGACTATAAACTCAGCACTCAAGAAACTGAGGCAGGAGGACTGTCTCAAGTTTGAAGCCAGCCTGGGCTACATAGTGAGTCACTTCTCTGCTGCATAGATTGTGTGATTTTTGTCCATGTAGTTATTTGAGATATCATCTTTCTTAAAGGTGGGCTTTATTCCAAACACTGAGGAGACAAACAAATGCAATGGAATGATCTATTATCCTTAAACGATTTCCAACATCTTTATTGTCATATGGCATATTTTTGTCCAAATCGTAGTACTTATAATTATAGTGTTATGGTTAGAATTAGTTTATAAATCTATAAATTTATGTTGGGGCAGAAGGGTAATTACCTATGATCTAAGTCAAGGATTGATAATTTTTTTAATCCAGGGATATGTTGAATCAGAAGGAAAGTATAGCATTTTACTAATGTATAAAGTTTTGCAATGTTACATGGATTACAATTTAAGTAAGGGGGTTTGGACATTATCTTTCTGAATGTGGTTGTGCATGTGATAAACTTCAACCTGCTACAACTGGAGATATAGATGAGAACCTACAATCAGCCCTGGTTTAAAAACTAGCATTGTTATGATTTAAATTATTGCAATTGGCATCAGCTTCACCAAGGGGATACTTTGGCCCTTCCTCAAAGAAACAGAAAGAAAAATTGAATAAAGAGAATTTTATTGTTTGATTGCTCAACAAATAAACTAAGTTCCAAAGATTTTGAAAAAAAATAGAGCCTAAATTTAAATGCTGCATGAGAGTGAAAGGTGAGTCTGGCCTTAGGACAATATCTGCATCTCCAGCAGCAGGAGGTGGGTCAAAGGTGAGTTTAAGTTCCGGAGTTACCCAAAGAAGGAACATGATCTCAGGATCATCTGAATTGCAAGAAGGAAAAGTGGAGAATAGAATAGTCCCTCTGAAGAAAGCTGAAATAAATGTGCCTACATAAAATAGTAATAGTATAGACTGTCTGAAGATACATGGAAGGCATAGATGATTCCAAAACAGCTGGGACTGGGAGGCATAACGTACTGAAAAGGAGCCCTCAAAATATATGCAAGGAAATCTCCTTTCTGGGGCAATTCCTAAACCATGCTGGATGCCAGAAGGTAGAGCAGAGGACAGGTCTGGAAGACTGGGGAGCTGAAAAGTCACCCAGGGCTGGGGGACATAGGCATTCCAACCTAGGTAGAGTGGAGACACAGTGGTGACTATGCTGTGGTTTCTGCTGAGACTCCACACAGGCCGTGCATTAGTTATCAGGACCACAGGCCAGAGCTAGAGAGGGACGAGCTGGGTAGACCCTAGGATATCCTACATTTAAACTTGCTAGAATGTCACTTAACACTCGACAAGAAAACAAGATAGTCCAGAGTCTCCCCCATATCATCCACAGTGTCACATATAAATTGCTTTATAATCCTTCATGTAGAATATTTTAAAAGACTCCTAGTTGTTCATTATTCCTAGAATCTAATTCATTCTGCTACCTGTGTTTTGTTTGATTTTGTTTTTGAGACAGGGTCTTGCTCTGTAATTCAGAATATCCTGGCAAACTTGAAAAGACACTCACTAAAGAGGACTTCTGGAACTGCTTCAGAAAGTGGCACGAATGCTAGAATCAGTGTGTTCCAAGGAAAGGAGTATTTTACGAGGGGTTAATGACAAAATGTATTTTACTATAACAACAGTTTTAAAAAATGTAAACGCTCACTGTACATTTTGATCACACACTGTATGTTTGATCTAAGCCAAGCCAAGCCCTACACCCTCAGACACAGGGTCTGGCACAGCCCTTCCGTGCTTCTCCCCGCACCTTCCTCGGTGTCGGGCTCCTCTTTGGCATCCCAGACCTGCACCGTCACTGATGGGCCCTGGTCCAGGATGGCACTGTGCTCACCCAATCATCCTCACTCCACAAGCTTTAGGCTTCAGCTGAGACATAAAGAGAAGTAGTTTTTTGAGATTGTCCCCTGTGACTGAGCAAGGGAACAGAGAAATTAATTGAAGGATAAATGGTCTGTGTCTGAGAGGGTCTCCGAAGGGAGGGGGACAGAGAGAGGAGCTATAAAATGAGGAAGGCAGCTAAGAGCAAAAGGGCAATCTCATGAATACCACTGAGGAGTAACAAGCAGCTCTGCGCTTTCTGCATTCATCCCCATTGGTCACAGCCTGCTCGATGCAAATGCACCACCTATCAGAATCTCGATAGAGTATAAAAAAGGGAAGAAGAAACTTCCACTGGACCTGGGACAGTCAGGGACAGGTAAAACCACCAATCAGGGCCATGGAACTCAATTCCAGCCCCCCTCACACAGGGTATCCTAGTCAGAGGATGCCCATCTGAAATCTGGCTGTACCATGAGCTGCAGGCTTCTCTGCTGTGTGGTCCTCAGTCTCCTGGGGGCAGGTGAGTCTTGGGTTCCAGTGGAATGTCCTTGGACTGCAAGCTTATTCCTTTTTGCTATGGTCACAGCTTCCCCCTAGGTTCTGTCTGAGTTTTGTTCCTTTTCCCTCACAGACCCCATGAACACCAGAATTATCCAGACACCAAGACATCTGGTCATGGGGACAACGGGCAAGAAGTCTTTAACATGTGAACAACATCTGAACCACAATGCCATGTACTGGTATAAACAGAATGCAAATAAGCCCCCTGAGCTCATGTTTCTCTGCAACTTTCAGAAAGTGGTCCAAAATGAGACTGTGCCTAGTCGCTTCTCACCTAAGTGCACAGACAGCTCTCACTTCTACCTTGACTTGACTGCCCTGGAACCACAAGACTCAGCAGTGTATCTCTGTGCCAGCAGCCAAGACACAGCCCTGCACAGTCACTGTCTCCCTGTGCACAAACCTGTTGGTCCAACCAGAAGCTTTGGGGGCAAATGAGCGCTCCATTGAACATTTCCTGTAGGACCCCATACGTAAACCACTATACAAACCATAATACCACCTGCTATCTCAACAGATATGGTGACTTTATACTCAATGCATGTTTTCAGAGTGTGGGGTTTCTTTTCCTCGTATGTGACTCTGCCCTGTTAATTGATGAAAAGACAAATACTTTTAAATCTAGTTTTTAAAATGTCTTTTTCAATGTGAAATGAAACAGGCCTGTTATAAGTAGATCTTTTGGCTTAAGAGTTCACAGGGGTTTTCTGTGACAACTGCAGCCATAACCCACAAAAGGCCAAAGGGTAAGACATTGTCCTTCGAAGGTTTCATTTTACATATCAGGACCCAACAAATCTGAGCCTCTTGTTCTCAGGAATCAAGAACTATGGTCATCTAGCCAGGCAGTGTGAGCTTGAGGAATCAGAGAAGGGACTTCCTGGCAAGGGTCCCAGGCTGGAGGCAGCTGCCAGGGACAGTAAGAAATTCTCCTTTGGGAACTAGAGTGAGAATCTATGTACTGCTCTGATTTCACTAGCTCTATTATTCTATATTCCAGCTTGGCTGTTCTGTAATTTGTCTCTTTTTCCCCGCTTTAAGCTATATCTTGAGCCCTAGCCCTGATCAAAATATCACATATGTGCAGATGCCTTTTCTAAACCTGAGGGTGCCTAGAATATGGCTCTGTCTGTCCCTAACCATCTGCTGGGATCTTGCTCTTTGTCTATACTCTCTTCCTTACTCTCAAATGTCCCCAGCTTAGTTCCCCAGTAGATTGTCTCTCCACACTGAGACTTGTTGGGTCACTTACCCCCTTTTGTCTCTTTATTCCCCCAATTCAAATCATCAGGCTTAGAGCTTCTGCAGCAAGACTTTGCATTGGCCATTGGAGAGGAGAGTGGGTCCTGCTAGTCCGTTCAGGTCTTATATTCCAGCACTCTGTTCTGAACCCTGTGGTATCAGAAGGGCCCTCTCAGGGCACTACTTAACACAGGCTGCCCACCTCAGGATACTCTGGGGTCCAGCCTTGGGGTGTCTCATGCCCATGATGGTATGTAGTTTCCTTGAGTTTGTGGGTGCAGCACAGACTGACGTCACCAGATCTCCTCCTTTGCACTGCTAACAACCACAGCCCCAGCTTGAGAGGCCTCAGACTATGATGGACAGCATCCTCCCCTGCTGTGTGATCTTTGGTCTCTTGGGGGCAGGTGAGTCCTGGAGTGCTTGGAATTTCCCATCCTGCTTTTGCCTGGAGGCAATTTCCAACTTTCACCTCATTCTCGTTTTGCTGTTTGTCTCCTCCACAGGTCACACAGAACCCAGAGTCAGACAAACTCCCAGCCATGAGGTCACAAACATAGGACAGAATGTGATTCTGAGGTGTTATCCTATTTCTAATCACCAGTACATCTACTGGTACCGACAGACTGCAAAAAGAGGAATGGAGTTTATGGTTTATCTTTATAACAATAACACTATGGAAAAGGCAGACTTTTTCAAGGATCGATTCTCTGCAGAGATGCCCAAGGGGTCATCTTCTATCCTGAAGATCCAGCCTGTGCAGCTGGGAGACTCGGCCATGTATCTCTGTGCCAGCAGCTTAGCCACAGCCTCACACAGACGTTTCCTGTCCCTACATAAACTCATTACCTTCCCTCTCCCCAGGCTCGAGCAGCCCTTCCTGCCTATGTAGGTAAGGATGTGTGGCTGGGGCAGTGGTTGCTTTCAATAGGGGCAAAAATTAACCCGAATCACCAAAATAGTCAGTAGCAACAAGGATAAGTCTCGCCATGGTGTTTGAGAAGTGCTCAAAGATGTGGCTGTGGACCCAACCTGGTATGGCTACACAGAAACCTTACCTCCTTTCTGGGTCTCTGTTTTGTTTTTTTTGTTTTGTTTTAGCAAAACATGCCTTCTATCTTTGATGAAGCAGGCCTTCTACAGAGGAAGTGTTTTCAGGACATTGATAAAGATCTTCAGTCTTCCAGAAGAGGCAAATCTGAGCACCACGTGAGGGGTGGGAAGGGAAGAAAGTTCTGGAGCAGTAGATGGCAAAAGCCCCTGGGGACTCTGAACCCAGGACAGGGAAAGAGGCTTTCTGGGGTACTGGTTACCCATGTGAGTACGAGGTCACACTGCAGATGCAGGCTGGCAAGATGGTCAGAGCTGGTCAGAGCCAAAAGCACACCATGAATGAACTGCCCACCCACACAGTGATGTATGGAAGTAACTCTGATCTCTCAGGGCTATAACCCTAAAGTTCTTGAGCCATTGGCAAGGGGTGATGTAATGTAGCAGAAAGCTCTGCCCAGTATTAGCAGGCTATAGTGGCACAAGCTTCTTGCCCCTCCATAATTCAGCTGTGTTACACTGGAAGTAGTCCAATCAGCAAAGTTCGCTTCCAAAAAAGGTCAACTCAGCTCCAGCTAAATTCCTGCCCTCTGAATTAACTGTTCTCTTCGGCACAGATATGCTGTTTCCTCCTTCTACAGTTGCCTGCCTAATACTTGTTATCAGCAGGTGTCCCAGGTCTTGCTCAGTTTTTCCCCCTTACCACACTTGTAATGAATAAACACTGGATATCCTGGGAGTCCTTTGTCTTTGTTGTGTAGAACATCTCAGATCAGCCCAAGACTCAGTTTCTCTCAACTCTCTGTCTGTGTGTTTCTTCTATTTCCCACTTTCATGAGAAAGCTGATCAATACAAGGTTTAACCTCAATTTTTTCCATAAAGGCCCTATCTCCAAATAGAGTAAGCTTGTGTGTTAGACTTCAAAGTAAGTTGTGGCGTAACATAATACACTAAGTCCCTAACATGCAAAATCTTGGTTATTGCCCACTAGGCCGCAGTGGGGCACTGTGGCACTATGGACCTCTAACTGTGGGGAGTACCTACAGAGCTGGAACCAAGGAACCTAGAAGGTTCAAGAAGAGTGCTATGTGATGTTTTTGTCCATCAAATGGTTTGATGACACATACGGGAATGTGTGGTGTGTTTCCACATCAGGGAGTCTGGAACTCCAGCTATCCAATGGGTTGAAGTCTTTCTGAGTTTGAAAGGGAAAAGGAAGGCTTTGGTATGAGACTGGGACAGCCTGCATGGCCCGAGGAGAGACATGCAGGGAAGAAACTGCCTCTAAGGAGAAGCAAGAGAGCTGTGGCATAGATACCTGGCCCAATCCCAGCCCAGCCTGGAGCAGCTCAGTCCAGCTCTGCAAGTTGTATTGTGTCAAGAAGAGACCAAGCTGGGGTCCTGGATTAGCTTAGCCCAGGAACGTGGCAAGAAAAGCAGGTTGCATGGGCATCTGTAGAGACAATGATATCAGAGCAGTGACATCACATCCTAACATCCAATCAGAATTGATGCTCACAACTCCAGCCCTCACAGGACAAGGTGACAATGGCTCACTTCTCCCTTATCCTACCATGGGCTCTAGCTTTCTGCTGTATGTGGCTGTTTGTGTCCTGGGAGCAGGCAAGTCCTAGAGACAGGGAGAGTATCGCCATTCTGAACTTGTTATTTCCTAAATCCTCCACTTCCCCCTGGGAATGCACCTCAGGCTTATTTCTGGATTCCTTCTCTATCTGCTTTTCCCACAGGCCCAGTGAAGACCGGAGTCATTCAGACCCCCAGGCACAAGATCTAAAGAAAAGAACAGCAAGTGACACTGAGATGTTCCCCTTTGTCTGGGCACCAGATTGTGTCCTGGTATCAACAGGTTGTGGGTCAGAGCCTCCAGTTTCTCTTTGAATATTGCAATGAGTTACAGAGAGCAAAAGGAAGTATCCCTCATCGATTCTCAGCTAAGTTCTGTGACTCACTGAGCTGAACATAACCAGCTTGGAGCTGGGGGACTCAGCTGTGCACTTCTGTGCCAGCAGAGGGCACAGCTCTGTAGAGTCCCCAGCATTCTGTGCACAAACTCCTGCCAGCACAGACTAGAGCAACTTCAAATCTGACTATGTGTGAAAGCCTAGGTGTGGCAATGCATGACTATAATCCCAGCTCTCTGGTAGGCTGAAGCAAGAAGATCACAAGTTCAAGCCCAACCTAGGCAACTTAGTGAAACTCTGTTTCAAAATAAAAAAGAAAGGGCCTCAGCTCAATGTGAATGCCCTGGGTTCAACTTCCAGTACAAAAAAAGAGAAAGAAGAACAAAGACCCTAGAATCTGAGATTATAAGAGGAAAGAGAAATGGTTATGTGTCACTGGAAAGTACAGCCTTTTCTACCATTAGAGGAAGAGAAATTAAGGTTTAGAGATTATTTCCAGGCCATGGGAGGGGCTCAGGTTCTCCATTCATGGTTTAGCAGATCATGAGCAGGTGGCTCCAGAAGGTGAGACGCAAGGAGTCTGTGGGCCACTGGCCCCTTGGGGGAGCTGTAGCTCTATGGTGCTTCAGGAAACCTGTGTGGGCATTGGAGAGTGGGTGTGCAGTGGTTTGGGAAGTGGCTCAGGACGACAGGGCTGAAATGAATGTCAGGTGGCCTGCATGGATCGGGGAGGTGGTGTGAATTCACTGGGTGGGGCCTGGGCAAGTGGAGGTAAACACAGACTCATTGTCCAGGGAAGGGCAAGGGTGCCATGGGTCTCAGCGTGCTCAGGAAGGAAGATTTTCTGCTCCTGCATGGGTAGAGGAAGGTGAAATGGCTGTGGAGACGAAGGTGGAAAATCAGCATCAGGTCAGGGGCTGGGGTTGGCAGAGGGGAGTCAGTATGGACAGAAGTCAGGTGTGTTCTTAACACGGCGGGGGGGCGGGGGGG